ACGTTGTGTTTGGGGGCACTGTCTACTTCACGTGGAGTGAAGCAGGTAGTCAACCTTGCGGGTGTTGCAAGAACAAGAGATTCTCTGTTTCTAGGTTTTGTTACAAGCCCCAGTTATGGATTGAGGGAAGCTGTTTTTAAAGAAAAATGGGATGTTAGCCATTCATTTTGCTACTCTGAAATGACATTCAGTAAAAACAACAGGCTTCTCTGTTAACCCTCAACTCGGGAAACTACTGTATTACCTCTGTGCCTTTTGCTCTCAGGAGGTCTAATCATATTTAAATTGGGGAAAATCAGTTTCCCTGTGACTGAATAATATCATTCTCCAAGTATCACTCTGGAAATGGGTATCTTGCCTGTGTGCGTTTCCCTAATCCCAACACATACATGTTTTGACATCAAGAATTGCTTGTTGTAATTTCCTAGTGTGTCAGAATAAGTAGGGACCTAGTCAGTCCGCAGTTTCATGGAAATCTCAAAATTAGGCATTGTCCGTGAAATCTTCAGGGGGGAAGACTTGCTAAAAATAAAACGCTGGCTCCCCAGTGAGAGCCAACAGTCCTCATGACCTGCAGGGGATGGGTGGGGGCTGCCTGCCCTACAACCCCCCCCCCCCCGCAAGGGGTGAGGGGGCGTGATAGATGGGCCTTTCAACCAATCAGAAGGCCCCCTCAGCCAATCAGGCATGGGTGGTGGGGAGGGAGGAGCTGCTGCAATAAGCCAGCAAAGATAGCGGCCAGCCCTGTGATCTGCCTCAATTTGGGGAGGTCCCTAAGAATAAGGGAAAGGATCGTTGAAACCTGCCTATGGCTGTTCTTTAATGCTGCCTGAGTGCAGGTCACCACTTCTGGGGAAAAACAGCATCAAATTTATGCCTTTATAACTTTTGGCTCATGCTAATAAAAGACTGATGGCTTCAGTGAGCTGTCAATATTGAATTTGTCATTGCTGGGAATAGAGATATTTGGGAATGCGTAATTAACCAAATAGTTACGAAGATAGATACCATTCATATCTCTGACCACAACCAGTTAGGCAGGCTTGAAAAGTATATCTTGTATACCCAGTCAAGAGAAAGTAGATAAAGAAAGCAAGCAATAAAGCTGTTAAAAAATGCAGCGTACTATTCCTGGATTTATAAACTACACATGCACATTAAGTCTGTTTGTTCTCTTTAAAGTATCACACAGGGTTTCTTTCATCTTAAAACTGTTTGTGGTTCAACTGGTTTGCAGTAAGCCTCCCTCTGTCTAAATTAGACTAAGCTAGAGGGCAGTGGAGTCAGTGGATAAGTACTGACATCAATGTTATGTGCTCGGCATTCTCTTTTTGGGAGACTTTTTTTTTCTTTTTGTTTTCTTTGAATGATGCTACCTTTTCTTCTTTTTGTTCTACAGAATGCCGAACCAAATCGGAGTCCAAAAAAAGGTGTCAAGACTAGAAATCCCTTAGGTAAAAGAAAGATGACAGTACAGGCTCAGGAGACTCCAAAAACAAAACTTAAATTGGCTGAAGGGGCAGATTTGCAGACCCTCAGTCAACAGAAACAAGGCAAGAAGCTGAGGACCCCGAAGAACATAGTAAAAGACAAGGAACTGAAAGAGACTCCCAAAAAGTTAGAAGCAAAGTCTGCGACTTCTAAAGGCAGCAAGCTCATCAAATCGGTGGAGAAAGCTCCCAAAACGCCAAGACGCATCCCCAGGAAAATGAAAGTTCCATGTTCAGCTTGAACATTGCCTCTCTTGTACTTCAGCCTTTTATTTTAAAAGATCTGATTAAATATAATTCCTTTTCTAACAATTCCAAACAAAAGGAACATACAGGAAAATTCTTTGTATGTTGTATCTTCACTTATATTTGTAGTTGCTCGCTGGTGTTTCTTCTACTTCTGGTGCGGCTAGAGACACTTGAATAAACTTTTATGTAACTTAATAGTCTCCATATTTATGTAGCTAAGATCTGTCTTTTCTCTCCATCCACCCATCCAGACTTGCATTTTGCCCACTGCAGCAGCCTTCTCTGGATTTGCAAATGCAATTTTGCTCCAGTCACATTCAGAAAGTAGTCATTAAAAAACATTTTCTTTCACCCCTCTTTGATTTTTCCTTTGGTTCTCCCTGCTTTACAACATCAAATAATAACTGAGTGTTGCTACTTGCAAGGTCCTTCATAATCATGCTTTTTACCTCTCTTGTTATCTCTTATTTGCTGTTGAACTGTAGGCACTCACCCACGCCTAGTGTGCCAGCTTCTGTAGCTCAATTTTTAATGCCCATGTGATTTCTTCTAGATTGCCCCTTGCATTCAAGAAGAGCTTGTCAAATGTGTCCTCAGAGCTACCTCATTATCACCCAAGCCCCTTCTTAAAACTTTACAAAATCCTGACAGTAGTTAGATTGCCAAGACCATGTCCTTTCGTATCTTGGGTCTTATACTAGAAAATGAGCTCCTGGGGCCAGGAACAGTCTTTGGTTCGGTGTTTGCACAACACCTAGCAAAAGGGTCCATGACTTAGGGGGCTGAAGGACTATCCTAATACAAATAAGCTGAGTCAGCACTATGGGGTTCCACTTACAAAATACTGTGCTCTTGATGATTGTCTTAATATCTAGAAAGTAAATATTTTGCACATGGATTACACTTGAAAATTTCAGAATTAAATGAATAAGGTTACAAAATGCTTATCTGAATGTAGCAGGTATGGTCTTCACAAACAAGTTTTATGTTCTATAGTGACCGTGCTGTAGCTGTTTGCCAACTACAAGCCTCAATGTTAACTCATAAAAGGACAAATTAAGCTCAAACCCTAAAACTAAACAACAATCAAGGAAAATATCATGCTGTCTATAATGGGATCCTGTTTTTAAGCTGTAACATAACATGCAATATTCTTTACCATGTATATCTCTTGGCTTCTTCCTGTTCTTATTCAACTACCCTTAGTAATTCATTTTTTTTAAAAGTGACAAGTAATGTAAACACCTGTCTACTGGGAGCACAGGATATTTATCATCTATTGGGTTAAAAAAAACAACCCAATCTTAAGGCATAGTATTCATTTAGCCCACTGTTTGTTCTACACTCTTCTCATTTGAAGTGATTTTTTAACTTCTGGGGACTAGCAGTCTAGAACTTGGGTTTATTAGCATATACGTGCTTTCATTGATTAGGATATGCACCAGTCAGAATTCAGTCTAAATGAAAACAAACTTGTTCTACAGAGACCTTTCTCTTTTTTTATTAAAACCCTTAGGGAGTTACTTTACAACATTGCTTTTCTTTGACTTCCTTGTATTTGCTTTATTCTGCGCAACTTGATCTGGGGTGCTTAGGAGCGAGAGTTCAGTGGTTAAAGAGCAACTGGCCTTTATGTTACTCGTTTCTCAGTACATGGAAACATCTCCTATAACCCACAAAAACTCTTAAACTCCCAGTAGCTATAACAGATCACTTCCTAGAAGAAAGATCATATATTTAAATTTAATCCTGAAGGACCAATAGTTAAGTAGTTGTCAAGGTCCTTGGGGCACAAGCACATGTTTGTATAGTGACTAAGAGAGAAGCCCTAAGCACTTCTTTAATACAAAAAGGTTCCAGCTGGCAAGCGGCTGAACCTGGCACTCAGACAAAGAGCATATGGGTTAGCAATGCCACTTCATAGTTTCATAGTAGGGTCAGAAGGGACCTGAGCAGATCATTAAGTCCAACCCCCTGCCATGGCAGGAAAGAGTACTGGGGTCAAACGACCCCAGCAAGGTGATTGTCAAGCCTTGTCTTAAAGACCCCCAGGGT